TTTTTTCTATCGGCCGGATCCCAAGGAAGATCGTTCAAATCAATTTCGGAAGACATCGAAGGAGCAGAGCTCGATTCAGGTGTTGATGCTTTCCTTTTAAAAAATCTTTCCATTTGATTTGTCTAATTGCCTACAAAATTACCCACAAAAATAACCAACAAAATTAACCTAAATCCTAARGCATTTACCAACTACCACAAAATTAACCAACAAAATTACCCTAAAATAAATAACTAACTTAAARCATTTATCAATTACCATTTACCACAAAATTAACATAAAATAAATACCTAACCCTAACCTAAAGCATTTATCAATTACCGATTACCACAAAATTAACCTAAAATACTACTAATTGAAAACTTGAAGATGGAAATTAGAATTAGAAATTTAGAATATTTACTTACCAAGGTCCAAGGCAGCAAGCAGCAGGAGCCAAGTCGCCGTCCGTCGCCCGTCGGTTTCACTCGTGCTGTCGTGCAGGTCGCAGGCGGCAGCGGCAGCGGCAGCAGCACCAGACGTCCAGACACCAGTCGCCTCCTCTCTGGCTCTCGCCTCTCTGCGTCTACGTTCTTCTGTCTCGCACTCTCGCTCACTCGCTCTCACCTCCTCTCTCGTTTCGTTCAATCGTTCCCGTGTGGTGCTGGTGTGGACCGTGTGGTGTTCTTCTCAGGTTAGAGACTAGAGTAAGGGGCCTTTGTCAAAGATTGTTGGGGGCCCAAACAAACACCTAATTAAAAATACAAAGTAAATTTTTTTTTTGGGCTTTGGTGGAAATAAGTTGTTGGGGGCCCAGGCCCCCTACCCCTAAAGAGTGCATCCGCCTCTGTTTCTGGTACTCGTCATGTTGATTTGTAGGTAATAGTCCTGTGTCAAAGGTAATGTTTGTGTGGAGGTGGGCCTCTATGATAGGTCTTATGATGTTGTAGGCTGTTGTGCCAGGAAGAGGTAGGTATTGGTGGGTGGTGGGAAGGTGTGGAAGGTGGGAACGAAGATGGCGGGGGTTTGACTTGCTAACACAATTTCATTGATAAATTTAATTTATTAATATTTTAGAATGTTTTATGTATGGAAAGCATTTATTAAATAAAAAAATATTCATTTTTCAAAATATCTCATTAAATTTTTTTAAATATTTCATTCTTTATATATTTCGTCGTTTATTAGGATATCCCTTGTTTTAAAATTATTTTGATTAGAAATTATTAATAGTCTAATACTAATTCAATAACTGTTAATGAAATAGTTTGCAATTATCGTTCAATACTATATGACAATCGGTCTTTCTTTAATGGCAGTCACGTGAGTTCGTTTTGTAAACGGTGAAACAATTTCATTCATCGATTTAATGATACAAAATATTTGTTTTAGTATTCAAAGTGTTTCATTATTTTTAGATGATTATAGT